AATCAAAATATTTTCAAAATTCATGGATAGTCTTCTAGAACCGTTTTCCTGTAACTACAACGTTAAAGGTGGCTGGCCTTGCTGCCCCGTCTCAAATTTACACCCTGTATATTAACAGTTCCGTCTATATTAGTTGATCTATGAAATTATAAATGAACTGCATTCTAGGTAACACTATTTTTAGGTAACCTACGAGTGTGTATTTAAATGATCATTTTAAATTTGCAAAAGCAGCAGGCAAAAAAAATTAAAATTGTATAAATTAACTTCGGCAATTTCATGTTGAGACTCAAAACTAAGACAAATGAGCATCAAAAAACCTGAAACCATGTTGTTGAAACGCAAGCGAATTCGTTTCTGGCACTAATGTGATGTTAGTGTTATTATCGTTTAATAACTTACCATATGCGGAAACTCCCCATATCCCGCATCGATACCGTTGGGAATTTTGGAAATATCGATTTCATTTCGCCCTAAAAAAAAACAAAATATTAATAAGTAAACCTTTGAATACCAACTCTTATAATTATTGTTTCATTCAATTCCGTCTAGACCCAACTGAATGGCAAGAACAAAGAATAACTAATCTTTTGAATTTTGACTTTATGAAACATCCACCTGCAGATACAAGATACTTACTATAGCACGTGTCCACGCGTTTGTTGATTTCTTCTTCGGTTTTTATTTTCCAGATGTATTCCAGACATTCTAAAACAAAAAAATGCGATTAGGATTGTATAGTCACCCTAAGACATAAAGTTAACAAGTTCACCGAAAGTGCTCTTGTATTAGACTTTATAACTAAATACTTAATAACACATAACTTTTTTATAAAAACTCCTGACAAGGCTTATAGGTGACTCGGGAATAGTTCCGAGTCACCAATAAGCCTATTGACACGCTTGTCAATTGAATCCAGAGTGGCCAGTTGGTATGTAGCAGAGCCATGCCAAAGGTAACAGCGGTACTCCATCTGTATGGAGTCGGTCGTGTGACCGGACTTGTGCTTGATACAGCTGAAACAACTGTCCCGGTTTGAAGTAACGCCTCACCCTAGAGAGAATGCCAAGCTTCTTGGCTGCATTTTTGGCCATGGATTCAATGTATCTGCCGAAGTTCAGATTGGACGACAGGTCCATTTCAAATAACAGGAGACGGTCGGCTATCTCTATACCTACCTAAAGAGTGTTGCAGACTTTACGGAACCTTGAGGAAAGAGCCTTCTAAGACCACTCGAATGGAACGTTCATTAAAGAAATCTGCAAGTGCTTCGCCTTGCTTTTCTATATCCTCGCTCCATATGTGACAGGCATATACAAGAAGATCGCCCTCGTCGGCATCCGTACTGGCGATCTCTGAGGAGGTCGTTGTCTATAGGGTACGACAGGAGACAGTTGTTGAGTACGCGTTCCATAGTGTTGCAGAATATGGAAGTGACTGAGATAGGTCTGTAGAATTACTTACTAGCTTCACTAATCCGTTGAACGTCACCTCTGAAGTCTGGGGGCAATGGCGAACGCAATGAATTCATTGAGCACGAGTTGTTCCATTGTAAATATTGATCCATTCTCCGGATAGCCTTGTTCAGTTTTACTCTAGGATTTACCTGAAACCATAAAAACATTTTCATTAAGAAAACAAAACGATAAAGAACAAAATCGAAAGAAGTGTCACAAAGAATTTTTTTTTTGATACCAAATAACGGAACAAACAAATCGTGCCCATATCAGATGCAATGTCACTCAAAGCTGTAAATCGCAAAAATCTGAGGAGTACCGCCAATGCGCCGGTTACCTTATAACAGGTACCAAGTAACGGGACGAACGAGTTCTGCGCATTCAGAGGTTTAAATTGCAAAGATCTTAGGGGTACTGCCACTGCGCTCGTATGTTGACAAGTCCCACCGGAAGTAGGTAAGACTGGACGAACTCTTTGTTTCTTCTGTCGTAACAACACTGCTAATGTTGGCGACACAATGTCTTGTAAAGTACTTAAAAATTGGAAATAATAATTGAAGAAGTTACTCACAGGCATTACATTCGAAAAACTGTAACGTGGCTTTGCTGGAATCTTCATTGGTGGATTTCGGGTGTATTGGCGTCTTTTTTCTTCAGGACGTGGAGTTACGGTTTGAGAAAATTCTGGTCTTTGGGATCTTGTATGGTCTATTACACGATAAACTTGATTTTGGAATTTAAGAATTATATGATTAGCGACAGGATCTTTTTCTGCTTCTTTGCCGATTTGTTTATAAGAATAGTCTGTATTAGACGTTTCCTTATCAACTCTTAGCAGTTTTTTTTCTACATGATTTTTGAATTTAATTGAATTTTTTAATTCATCATTCAAGTTTGCTGCAGATGTCACTGATAGACTGCAAAATAATTCTGAAAACATAATATAAGTATTAATAGTCAAGCCTTTTCTTAGCATTTTAATATAGAGTATAATAAGCCACCTACAATGTCCGTACAAGTTAAAAGGCGCGAATTCCGCGGCCGAAGTAGCCGAGAAGCGCATGGCGTAAATGCGCCTAACTTTGCCAGTGGCAACTTTGTACCTTTTGTAATGATACTCTGAGTTCCTGGAAGCCAGAGAGCTTTCAGTCCTTATATTAGAGACTTTATATTTATAAGTGTTCAATTTTATTGCCAAAATTTGTAAAATGTTTAAAAATGTTGCACGAAAATGTAATAATATGTTGTGTATAGAATCATATGGAACTAAAACTGCATATGTCATGTTGCCAAAAATTAATACTAAGCTGCCAAAGGAGATTGGATTAATTAAACATTTCAGTTAATTTATAAGATAACTGTTAGCTTTCGTAATAAAGAGTTTTTTTGACAGAATTCTTTAACGAAAAACTCACGGTAAATTTCAAATTAAAATTCACGCGTAAATTCCGAAAAACTCAAGGCGCGAGCTTTCGAATTCGTACCCACGACCTCTGCTTGAGAAACAGTAGGTCCAACCATGGTCCAACGGTTATGCTACCACGGCTACAATAAATTCAATAAAATTATGAAAACTAAGTTACTTACCTACTAATAATTTCACCAAAGTAATTTGAATAAACTTCATTTTTTTAGTAATGCTGAATTTCAGGCACTGTAAACTTCACACCTCACGAATATCACTAATTAACTAATGAAATTAATTCATAAATCCTGTTTATATACAGGAACTACAATATATATTATATATACGTTAATAACACGTAATATGTAATATACAAAGCGTAATGGGAAACCGCATACAAAATCGTTATCACGTAGGAAATTATGTACGCAAAGTCCAATGAATATAGGGAAAATATTTGTTTTAAAATCATTTGTGGTTTTCCAAATTATTTACTAGTTTGGAGGATGGTGTGACTTGCCGCTTCTCCGGCAGAGGCCGTGGGTTCGCATACGAATCCGGGCCCGCACCTCTCAGTTTTTCGGAATTTATCAGCGAAATTTAGTTTGAAATTTACCATTAGCTTTCCAGTGAAGGAAAACATCTTAATGAAACTGCACTTTGAAGAAGATTGACAACCGTGAGAAAACGCTCACCTGCCGACGCCGAAGCGTCTCTCCAGTTCCCAGACAGCTACGCACCTGGAGGGACCAGAGGATATCTAACTCATCCTATACTACTCTCCGGGCTAGCACCGGAGATGTCGCAGTGTCCTATGACAACGTCCTGACATAGTTTCAAACTAAAAGCGCAAGTCACGTGCCTCGCGCGTCTCGTCGCCTTAGGCCCTCGTCTAGACCGCTACGAAGACGCGCTAGCTGCGCGCGGCATGAACCACATGCACATGGTACAGCTAACCACAAACCCCGGCAAGTCCATATCTAAGTCCGGGTCCACCAGAGACGCTCGTGAAGGCGTATCACTGGCGGAGGGCTAGGCCTGGACGTTCGCCGTACTCTGGTCTTACGGGGAGCCAGTAGTCTCTCCGGAACTCCCTTTCTCTCGGGTCAGTAGATAGGGATAGCTCTTCACATCGAAAACACGATTCCTATAAATTTTCTCAATAGGAAAAAAACACAAACTTACCTCGAAATTTGCTGGAAAACCGCTGTATTCAATAAGTACTTTACAAATACCAAAGTTTTTTTTTTATATCAACTGAACTAAATAGAACACGTATAGTATACCATATACATTTTTCAAATAGCTCGAATTTAGTTTGTAAAAAAAATAAATTCTGAAATAAAGCCAGTGAGTGTCCCTGGCACTCGACCGAAGCAAAATGAACCGTATTAGTACGTGAAAAATTTAAATTCAAACTGAGGTAGTACAGACCCTTAAGCTATCGATGAAACGCCATCATCCAACAGAAGGCTCACGTACTCCGCTGGCTCAGTAACCCGAAGTGAGTCTAGGCCTCCGATACGAGTTGGAAGGGCGTATCTTGTGCGATCGCCTCCCACGTATATCTTTATCTTTATCTTTACTTGTCTGCGTGCAGGATGCGTAGGTCTCTCTTCACTTCGTCCCAACAAAATACATAAAATTTTTATTTTATCACAGCCGATAAGGAAATATGTGGAGTGGCTTCAATGAAATTATGCACAAGCAGATTAAGCTCCGCTGCATACGCAGTCCGCAGAATACGTGAGCTTACCGATGTTAGTACTGCTAGACTAGTTTACTTTAGTTACTTCCATAGTATAATGTCCTTTCTCATGTGGGATAAAGCGGCAGATATTCAAACCATATTTGTATTGCAAAAACGAGCGATTCGTTCTATATACCGTCTAGACTCTCGGATTTCTCGAAAGTTTAAGGAGACTGACTAATATTAACCTTAGAGCTAAGTCCAAACTCATGGTACCACGATTTCGTTTAACAAAGGTAAACAACTCTGTTATGGGGAACTGTATACGTTTTTACAATAAGATTCCGGAGCATATATTAAGTTTATCATTTCCTAAGTTTAAAAACTACATTAATAATATTTTGATCGAAAAATCATATTACAAAACTGAAGACTACGTGTTAGATAATGATGCATGGAAAGACGACATGGCTCCAGAATCCACACAAATTTGGTTCAAAGTGTATTCCATAGCATTTAAGTTTATTTGAAAAGAGCAATCCCTAGAGTTTCTTGCTTGTTCTTCTCAGGGAGGTCAGCGTAGTGAACGAGCAGTAGCTTAAACGTGACGTTTTCAAGTGTAAATTTATTTTACCTATTGTACCTATGGAATAAATAATGTTTGACTTTGAATTTGACTTTGAATAACACCGATGATTCTTAGAATTCGGAGTGAATTGATTACTCCGCAACGTTGTGTGTTCAACTATTTTTTTTAAGATTGTTTAACACTGACTCAACGTGTGACTCTTTCACCGTCATTCCAGCTTTTCATCACCCTTTTCTCTGGTACCCGTCCACTTACTTTTGAAATTTTGAATCGTTCTCTTATTATTTTTCTTCGTCATTCCTAATTTGCTTCGTTCCGTTGTCAGTCCCATCAAAATTCTCGAAGAGAAAAGACGTGTTCTTCAATCATGTAAACCTAACTGCTTATAAAGCAGCAATACTTTGTTTCTGTCCATCGAGTATATAACCAGAAATAGAGATGAAATATCATTTAATTTGTTTGAAAACTATTCTGCCAAATCATTACGGTGACAACTGCGCTCCGATTGGCCAGCCCGAATTCGAAACAATTGACGGGTGTTGTCATTTGTTTCACTTCAAATAGACCAGTTTAACTTGAGCTTTGCTATAATGGACGAGTATTTAAAAATTACATATTTAATATTTAAGTACCTACCGATGAAATGTAATTCCGTTTGTTTTGTAATTAGATGTGTTGCTGTTTTTCCCACACCACCGAATGGAACAGCCCCCCATAGTTAGCGATATTATCTTATATATGAATACAGAATATTTTTGGAATATGCGGAGACGTACACAAAGATCAGTTGTTGGCGTTGTACTATTTCAGCTTTCTAATTTGTGATTTCAGTGCAAACGAAAATTAATATTTTAAAATGATAGGCCCATTTGACGGATGAGTTGCCAGTGATGGATGGCCCTTATTTCGGCGCTATTCGTCGCTCTAACAATATTGCAACAAAAATTATGTGTACCGAGCCTTCTCTTTAATTAATAATACATGTAATAACGCACACACTCAAGCTAGCCCCGCACTAGGAAAACCCTGTATCGCGGGTGCCATGGACACATACATGGACAACCACAAATTACACCCAAACTCACGAGAGAAATAAATGTAGGCCATACAAATATTTCTCCCGGCCCGGGAACCGAACCTGGGATCTCTATGGCTACGTTCGCCAAAGCTAGGATACAAACTGACCAATAGATTGCCATTAGAAATCTAGTGGTATATATTCCACCAAAAACAAAGGATCAGCGTCGTCGCCACCTGTACTAGGTAAGGTTCTCCTTGAGGAAAAGATCTGGTCCTTAGCCCGCTGCGGTTTCCTTCACAAGTTTCCCAAGGATTGCAATATTTTTTTATTATACCAAGTTACGGAGAAAAAACTAAGGAACACTGCCGCTGCGCCCGTCCCCCTGAGACATAAGTTGACAACTCCCAAGTGCTTGTATTTTCACCAGCACACTTACCCTTCAAAATCGTAACCCAGTAATGCTCTCATTATCTATATCTTAGCGGCAGAAATAGGTAAGGTGGCAGTACTTGCCTGGATGAACTCTTTCACAAGAAATCTACTGCTGCACTCGGACACGTTCTTTTATTTTTGCATACATCATGTATATAGGACTTAATTGAATTTAATTCGTAAATATTCAAAATTCGTTCATAGTTCGTTCATATAGAGTTCGCTGGCAAACCTACCTTCTATAATTATTAATACATACAGATTCTCCTGAATAGAAGAATGAGTATGAAACTCTAGGAGCTGCTCTTTCTAAATTATTTTTTTTAATAAATAATTAGGTGCGCATTTGACCCCCATCTCACCTGATAGAAAGCTCATATGTTCGGCTATATGTATGTATTATGTATGTTTTCAGAGAGTCTGTCATTTGTGGACCGATTTTGAAAATTATTCTTTTGTTTGAAAAAGTGCGTCCTCGTGGTGGTTCCATTGTCACCAAGTCAGAATCTGATGAGGAGATCCTATGAAAATCGAAGGAAATCCTCAAATTTTACAGGCAAGTCCGTGTATTCACTAATTTCTCCATCAATTGAGCACCGATTTTGAATTATTTTTTATATTTCAAAGCGTTTATTATACTCTTGAGGTGGTCCCTGATGTTGTTCCGGGTTGGTTTCGGCTATCACAAATTACTATTTATTTTCCACAAATGAAAGCCGACTTTTTGACATAAAAGTAAATACAAAATGTACAAAGGAGTCCGTAGCAGACTCACTGTCACCAAGAAGTCGGAATCTTTTAAATCAATTTTTATTAAGGCTTTAGTCACTTTGAGCGACTATAGTAGCCTCATGAGAGGATTACTGGAATATGTTCATTATTGAACCTATTTTCTTATTTTACCTACCCCAGAGATATCTTCAAATATTTGTAAAGTTTAGAACTCCAATACATACAGGCTCTCTGAGTCAATAATTAATTTGCCCATTGCATAAACTTACATTCCCAAACATTGTACCCCTCAGAGTAACGTTACCGTTACACTCCACCAATACATGGTACAGATCCTCTATTGCAAGTACTGTACAATGGGGATGGTTTAAAACCCATCACACCCATGGAAACTGAAAAATCCGATAAGCAAACTTTTGATCTCGGTTTTTTTAATGAAAAAGTTACAATTATGTATATTACATTTATAATTCACAATATTTATTATAAATGACATCCTACAATGGCTAAACGGCAATGACGCCTACGGATGTTTCACATCTAAATACGCAGAAGCTATAAACTTACGAAGACAACTGTTATAAATACAATGCCATTAACTGATTTTCTAGAATACAATATTTAAACAGTACGACTATGTTGTATTATAAGTCATAGTAATGAGCAGGGTATTTACCTTGTTTACTGTAACCGTCCTTGACTGTCGCTTCTAAACCAGTTTGCTTAATTTTCACATCGCCTCGTCTGGCCAGACGTGTATACGTTTGTATTAAATAAAAAATTAAATTTTAATGTGAAGTAATATTATATTACATAAAAATATATTTTAACTAACTGTTCTTCAAATCCGTAATATTAACCAGTGAAATGAAGTGCCGTTTAGTGTTGTTTATTTACATAGGTAATAATATTCCACAGACGTCACAATGGACAATCCTTCAAGACCGATTTTTCAATGAGAACCTCGCTGGTCTTCGAAGGGCTAAACCTCCTAACCAAGTCAATCAAACCTTCTAAGGAAGATTTCCTACACGATTAAAATAGTTGAAGCTTTAAGTGTATCGTATTGGACTTCATCCTGACCACTAATTAATCAGAGTAATTCTTGTTACAGGATTATTGCAATTAGAGAAGGCTTATAACTCAAATATTAGACATTCCACACGAAAAAGACGAGTAAGTACATTTATTACACAATGGTTTTATAAGTAGTCTATTTCTTCACTTATGTGTCCCTAATACTAACAAAATGAACCAAAAGGTAGAACTGTAACAATTTGAATAAAGTAACCATGTTAATTGTCACAATTTATGTCACCCTTGTATGTATGTTATCCTTGTGAAAGGGTTCGTCCAGGGAAGTACTGCCACCTAACCTATTTCTGCATTGCATGTACATCAAACTTGTCTGCTTATGTCACAGGTTGACGGGCGCAATGGCAGTGCCCTTCAGATTGCGATTTAGCTCTGAGTGGCACTGCAAATGCTATGGATAGGCGTGTCACTTACCACCAGGCGCAGGAATTGTTCGTTTCGTCACATAGTAACATAAAAACCATGACAACATAATTTTAATGCTCATAATTTAGTGTCACAGAAGACATATTTGTATTGAATAATTTCAGAACAGAATAATAATAATCTCAGTACAGAATACTAAAAAAACCGACCTCAAAAGTATGTGGAATTACATCTATTTGCCAAGTTTTATTGAAATATCCCCTAGTTCGCCACTATACAGGACTTGACACAGGAGATAATAAAAATCGGTTCTCATTACTCAAAGTATATTGAGAGAGAAAGACGCCTTGAATTGGAGAATAGCAAAACCAACCGTTAAAATAATTGCTCCTTAAGTAATATTTAGGCGCTATTTATAAAAATGAATGTTCATGCGTGTTCAGCCAACCTTAGAGGTGGATGATTTTCTTCAAAATGAAATGAGACCACTATGGAGGTACCCTCTTTGCAACAAAAACAGAATCATCAAAATCGATTCACAAATCACAGCCGGAGTTATTGCGTAACATACATAAAAAACATACAGCTAATTGAGAACCTTTTCCTTTGTTTAAAGTCGGTTAAACAAAATTGCTCTTTTAAGTTATTTCTAAAGTATTCATATTTTCCCCAATACATACCCAATTAATTAGAAGTTGTTTTCGGACCTTACAGATTGTAAAATATTCGGCCTATATTTATTTCTCTCGCGAGTTTGGGTATCATTTGTGGCTGTCAGTGTGTGTGTACATCGGTACAGGATTTCGCTACTTCCCTAGTGTAAATAATTTTAAACAGTCATTAAAACTTAAAATATGCTGGGCCTGAAAATTTTTTCAAGATGGCGTTTTCACCCTTTCTACAAAATACGGACGGTACAATCTAATAGAGTGTGCATAGACGTATATTCTATGTCAGAATGCTATGTCAGAAGTACTCGTGTTATAAAACTTTTTTATTTGTAAAAGGTTTCAACCCGCATCCGGATATAATTTAATAAAGAATAGGGGAATTAAAAATTATGGTGAAATAAGCGATGAAAGTTTTTATGCAGAACCAATCATTCCTGAAGTACAGTAGGCTCGCCTAAGTACGTATTCTTCACAGATAACGTCGCGGGCACCAAATAGTTTTTTTTTTTTTTTATATAATATCAAGTGACGGGACGAGCAAGTCATGGTAAGCTAAACGCCTGTCCACTGCGCCTGTCACCCTGAGACATAAGTTGGCAAGTCCCATATGCTTTTAATTTAACTGCCTCCGTGGCCGAACGATTACCATACTGGACTGTCACGCAGAGATCCCGGGTTCGATTCCCAAGCCTGAATTATTTGTATGATCCCCATTTATTTTCTCGTAAGTTTGGATGCAATTTGTCTTTGTTTATATGTGTGTCCATGGCACCTGCGATACGGGGTTTTTAAAGAAACCCGCGCGGGTGCGGAGCTATGAGTGTGAGGGTTGTTGTTGTTTGTTGTTATTTCACCAGCACCCTTACCCTTCAAAACCGGAACTCAGTAATAGTCTCATTACTGCTTGGCGGCAGAAATAGGTAAGGTGGTAGTACTTCCCTGGACGAACTCTTTCACAAGGAGCTCTGATGCTACTAAAATCTAAAACTTACTAAAAGTATCAAATGTAGAGACATGTTGTTTATGTAATTAATTCGTGCTTCAGAGCATGCTACAAAACAACATGCCTGACCTTGTTGTTTTGTTTATAGTGCTAGCGGAAACAGCAATAGGTATTCACGTCAAATTCGTAATCGTGACCTTCAAATTCGCTGTTATAGTACCTCAAACAGAACTACACTAACTGCTTGGTCTCAAACTAGGAAAATCTACTTTGAGTACGTGAGCAACGGAATCCACCCTGAGGCACTTCGCAGAACATCCAGACCTGGGGGTCTCATATTGACAATGACGTTAAGTTTACTAGCCAGCCATTTCAAAACAAAAACCTTTTAAGCTATAGGGACAACATACTTATCCCTCTTTGTGTATGTTACACGCAGCGGTCTCGGGTTCAATTCTCAGGTCGGGAGAAATATTTCTAACGTCTACATCTACTTCTCTCGTGAGTTTGTATGTAATTTGTGAAAACCGTCGTGATATTGGGAAGAGCTACAACGACAGTCGTCCGATAATAGATAAATCTTCACGATAAAAATGTGACGACAGATAATCGGAGCTTCAATCGATTCTGTCGTGCAAAACGCAAGGCGGGTGCCGTTAATCGATAAATTGTCGTCGCGATCTAGTCTAGGGAACTGGCTAGAAGCGACTGTCGTCTAACTATAAAAAAACGTTACGACATAATTGGAATAAATAATTGATGAATATATAATTGGAATAATAAAGCGCGAGATCTCTTTAGGAGATTAGAAGTATCTCCCGCTTTATGTCGCTCTCGCGCAAGTTACGCCTTTTCGTGCTAGCACTATAGATTGAAGAAATTTTTCATTGTACTCTTTATTGATCTTTGCCATTGACTTACAAATAAATGGACGACGGGTCTAATACAAAAACCACGAAAAAAATGTCCCAAGTCAACCTATTCCAAATTTAAATTGTTATGTCATTGCAGTATCGCGCTGTCCGTAGAACAAATGAAGACTAAAGCGGAGTGTCGCGCTCTGTGTACGATTTTAGCGCCTTACAAGTGCGGACACTTTTTAGCGCGGACCCGACGTCCATATAATTGTAAGTCAATGATCTTTGCATTAATAAAAATCTTTTTTTTTTTTAATTACAGCAAGACGAACAATGGTCCTGGGGATACGCAGATGTAAGTTGAACGAACATTTTATAATAATAATAATATTTTATTTCGAAAACTAACGCGGTTATCACTCATTATAGTAGGTATAAAAGTAACGGGGCTTACTTGCGTAGTATTCTAGTCGGAAACGGTCCGACTAGTTTCAACCATAATCGATGGTCTTCATTAGATGAAGATGACGCTTCCGACTAAAATACTACGCGAGTAAGTCCCGTTAGTTTTATACTATAATAATAATTATGTTTATTTGACTTCACAAATCGATGCCTCGAGCACTACGCCAACTTTATTTTACGCCATCTTTGTAAACAGCCATATTTATTTTTTTGTTTGCCCTATTTAAAAAAAATATAATACATATGCTAACGGTGCCATCATTGTATATTCTAGAATCAGTATTATTTGTCAAAACAAACCCTAATCTGTTCAACAAACTTGTGGAAGTAAGACGTAGGAATAGGAGAGATAATGATGCAGTATCTATGATGCCACATAAAACTGCATTTATGTCAAAAAAGTGTGCTCTGTATGCTGCCAAGATTATATAATAGAGTCCCAAAATCTATCCGTGAATTACATGTAGATTTGTTTAAGAATAAATGTAAGCAGTATTTAATTGATAAATGTTTTTATAATATAAATGATTATATGAATACCAGATGGATTTAGGTCCCAATAATAATTGTTTTTATATCTAGTAAGATTACATAAGCTTACAGATGTATTTAACTAATTTATGATATTATTGACTTTCATTCATTTTCGACATGCGCATATTTTATGAAGGCTTGGAAATGTATTTTGTTATATTTTTTTCTTTACATATTTATTATTTTTAATTATAATATTTTGCACATTATGCGACCACCACTAATTATATTTGTATGTTTCGACGAAACTGGTTGTAGTAGCACTGTTAATGTATTGAACTGATCTGATGAACTTATTGTACCTACTTCCACAAAAAATCGATCTTTATCTTTATCTTTATCTTTTATCTTTATTTACTAATGTTATGTTCCTCGAATGTTGTGAACATAACATTTCGCGGGTGTCACGGACACACATATAAACAAAAACAAAATTCGAAAAAAAACAAAACAAAAAACAATTTTGTGAAAAAAAAAACAAAATTAAAATAAAAACAGAACAGGTCCACAGAATTAGACAACCACCAATTACATCCAAACTCACGAGAGAAATAAATGTAGGCCATACAAATAAATATTTCTCCCGACCCGGGAATCGAACCTGGGACCTCTGCGTGGCAGTCCGGCATGGAAAACGTTCGGCCACGAAGGCAGTTAAATTAACTTTATATTTTAAGCCGAGAACAGGGCGAAATGGCGTGCATTAGGGGAGGCCTATGTCCAGCAGTGGACTGCAATAGGCTGATGATGATGATGATGATGATGATGCATTGCAAACGTGACGTCATGCCTAAAAACATTGTGCATGGTTACAGTTTTTTTTTAAACGCACACACTCATAGCCCGCACTAAGAAGAACATAGACACCGACAAATTATACCCAAAATCACGAGAGAAATAAAAGTAGGCCATAAAAATATTTCTCCCGGTCCGGGAATCGAGTCCTGTGTACCGTTTAGGTTGTAGGGTTTTTCTCAGAGAAAAGTTTAAGGAGACTAGTATCATGACTGTGGCATCACAATACATTTACTCAAATATTTTATATGCCCGTAAAATAAATACATAATTTCGTAAAGAAAGAAGATATCCGTAATATTAACCTTAGAATTAAGTCCAAACTCATGGTACCACGTTTTCGTTTAAATAAGGTAAACGATTCTTTTATGGGGAACTGTATACGTTTTCACAATAAGATTCCGGAGCATATATTAAGATTACCATTTCCTAAGTTTAAAACTTACATTAAAAGTATTGCAAAATACTAAGTAAGTATTAAGTAATATAAAATACACATTACAAAATTGTAGACTACGTGTTAGATAAAGATGTATGGAAAGACAACGTGAATCTCGATTCCACACTAATATGATTCAAAATGTATTCTATAGCATTTAAGTTTATTTGAAAAGAGCAATCCCTAGAGTTTCTTGCTCGTTCTTCTCCAGGGAAGCGTATTGAACGAGCAGTAGCTTAAAAAATGACGTTTTCAAGTGTAAAAATTTTACCTATGGAATAAATGATTTTTTGACTTTGACTTTGACTTCGAACCCGAGATCTTTTTGTGGTGGTAACGGTTCGACCACGAAGGCAGTTAAAACAGTTACTTTTGTTTTCACAGTTCCCCTTTAAAAGTGGTACGAATTTATAGGTTGTATAGGGCCAACTGTCACACACTAGGCAGAGTATGTCCTGTGGCGACCCTTTTACGATTTCAAGAAATGATTTTCGACATTTAATATATAACGTTACACGTTGCATTATGATGATGTTTTAATATTATTAACAATTTATGTATACTAAAAGTATATCTAAAATAAATAAGAAAAAAGTACAGGAATTACAAAATGTTAAAACTTAATTTAAAACAAACCAACCTCAAAAAGTTCGTGGAATTGATTTGCCAAGTTTTATTGAATCCGGTTAAGAAGTGCGCGAAACCAGATTCATCCCTTTGTTTGCCACCGTTAAAACTGGACTATTTTCTTTAAATTTAAATGGTAGCAATACTAAGGTACCCTCTTTCTAACAGAAAAAGAATATTCAAAACCGGTTCAAATAATCGCGTAACATGCAAACAAAAAATCAAATAATACAGTTGAATTGAGAACCTCCTTCTTTTTTAGAGTCGGTTAAAAATAGCATGAATTAAAATAATATAGACTAATATCGTATTATTATATAATACTAGAATACTTATATCCCAATTAAAACCCAGTACAATCGTGTTCTCAATTGGATCTTGACTCCTGGTACTTTGGGGCAACGACTGTACAATTCATAACACTGCGATTTGAAGATTGTTAAAAAGGAAGCGTTTTAAAATCTCTGGTATTTATAAATTCCAGATAACCCCTTCAGAGCGAACACGCGATGATACACCGGCACTACCTGATGAGGATCCATGCCTGATCAAACCTCCTGAGATGCCAGATTTCAGAAAGCCTGGACGACGGATCAGTACACAAAGTAATATGACCATCATATTTAGAGTGATAAGTTTCAAAATTCGTTCAAACGTCTTGTGTGAAAAAAAACTTCAACATATCGCACCTTCGGTATAAGGCCACTTCTGTAAAATGACAGCTTCACAAAAATCACTTGTGACATATGACCACATGTGCCTTTATTATATGTATATACCAAAGGGTTCGAGATGTTAATAATAATCATAGAACACACATACAAATAACGCTGGTTCAAAATGTTGCAAAAGATTAACTAAAATGATATTATTATTAACAAATATTCTAATTTACAGAATGTTATGAGTACATTTGGCAAACCCATTACAGAGAAGTTACACAGAAGTTAGACAAAGAATGTGAGTAATAATTATGGACAATTACACCAAATACACCCGACAACCTACAAAACCACTAAAACAACTAAATTTTGTATATTATTGTACTGTATAAGTTTGTGAGTCAGTATTTTGGATCAGTGATGAGCTTACCTGTAATTGGAATACATATAAGAACAATGCAGCACATAATCTTTTGTGAAATCCAATATATGTAATTCTGTTGGTTCGCCAAATAATTAAATAAATAAATAAATAAATAAATAAAACCACATTCCGACATGGAAACGAACTCGAGAACTCTTCATCTAGCATTTTATGTATTGGATATTTTTAATTAATTTCCCTATTCGATGATATTGTTATTCAAATGTTCTCATGAAGCTATAGGCACATAATACTAACAACGGCAATTCATAGGTACCTTAGTAATGATTATGACGGTACCAAAATACGGTAAGTGTAAACCCAAGCTAACCCTTAATAGGCAATTTAATGAATATGTGTTATATAGGTGTTGTTAAGTTTAAAGTACGGTGTTTACTTACTTACTCCCAATAATAATAAATACTCCGTTGGCTCACCGACCCGAAGTGGGTGGTCTTGACGTCCGATACGAGTTGGAGCCAGCGCGCCCGATCTTGTGCGATATCCTCATAGGGCTCCTGCATGTAGGGCGCGGAAGTCTTTCACCACTTGGCCCCTCTATCGGTATTTGGGCCGACCTCCGGTCAGCGACCTCTAGGATGTCCTACATAGACCCTTTTCACCGCCCTATAAGCTGGCATCTTTTCGAGGTGTCCGAGCCTACGAAGTCTTGCTGACTTTATTTCTCCTGATGATATTGGGCTTAAACAAGATGTCTTCCAGCTCCTGATTCTTTTGGATCCTCCAGCCACCATCTACCCACTGCATTGGGTCTCTAAATCTTGATGAAATAACGCCAAAAATACAATAAGGGTTTCATTCTATTCGTCAGCATGCTTCAGCGTTGCATTTTAACCTGGCCCAACCCTTACAGCGTAAGTTTTCAACACTTCTAATGTTGCCACAAAATCTTTTGATTTCCTATAAATTGTTTTCCATAACAGCATCCATAGTTACTCCATAATCTTGGTTTTGGTATTATTTGTGTGATATTCTATGCATGTTAGGCTTTCTGGTAGTCTACAGTTCTATCTTATTTATCTTCTAACAGTTAAGTGCTTAAACAAAAAAAGGATAACATTCCAAAACTTAAATTTATTGCCCTTGTCCAGGTTCAGAGTATCGGAGACTCAGTTCTACACATTTTGGTGTTGCTTTCGCAATTGGAGGTCGCACTGCAAAACCCGGCGAGTTTCCTCACATGGTAAGCTATTCCTTTTTCAAAAACCATGTGAATCTTACAGAAAAATATAATCAAAATTTTATTCAAAATTTTACTTCTGTGAATCACAAACGTGTGTAATCATCGCTTAGTAAATTGTTAACATAGTCATGACATATTATACATATCTAACCACACACGTTTGCACCTACACAGTAACGCTTACCATTTAGGGACTATGACTGAGAGCGGAAACCTAAAAATTCACATATAATTATTTTGATTTATTTACCTCATCTGAAAATTTTTTTTTTGGATTTCATCAAAGACATTGCTATTGTTAAAGATATTTAATATCAGTTAGACATATTCTTATGTAATTACTGTATTGCATTCTTACAGGCAGCTGTAGGCTGGAAAGCAGCAGTTGGAACATGGATATTCAAATGTGGGAGTTCTCTAATCAGCTCCAAATTCACCTTAACGGCTGCTCATTGCACTAGAACATCAGATCGGGATACCACAGTAGCCGATATCATACCGAAAATTGTGAGACTTGGAGATAAGAATATTATTGATGAGGTAATTAATAATACTATTGAATGTTTTCTATAGATTTGATTCTAAATATGCGATACTGGTATTACGATTTCAAAACGCCACAACAGGAACAATTAAAACTATGACAAAAATTAGAATAGACACCTTTGCATGCCATACTTACGTAAGTGGATTCAATTCAATTCAATTTAATCTTTGAACCAATAATAATAATAATTATACATCTATACAAATAATGCTGTTGCAGTGGGCGAACGGTCTAGCACCAGTCGACGTAAATATAACAAGAATCATAGTACACCCCCAGTACAAATCACCTAGAAAGTATTATGACATAGCTATTATGGAATTAGAATATGATGTTTTATTCACTGACAATGTTCAACCAGCATGTTTATGGTCTGAATTCAATACTGACCCTCTTGGACCGGATGCTACTGTTACTGGATGGGGCGTTGTAGAAACAGGTGAGTTTGTTAAAACAATATAACAATAAGATAATAATAATAATAAAACAATAAGATTCTAAAAGACGACTTTAAAATCAAATCAAACAAACATCTAAGAACCACAGTATACACATGGTATATCCTAAGAGAACACTTAATGCAAACAGAAGTTGATTTTTTGTCGTAACGCTCGCTTCTTTCTTATAAGTAATTGAACGATCAAGTGGGACGTCAAGGTTAAAATGAGATAAAAATTTTAAAAATCCTGTTTAATAATATCAATTCCAATCACTATTAGACCGTGACTATTAGACCTGTAAAGAACCCAAAGTGCTGAGTAGTTTTGAAAAACAAAACGAATATACAGGATTTAGATTTGAAAACTTTATATTTCAATTTCAATATCAAATTTGACAATAATGCCAATAAAAACAACTTCAATAATAAGAATCATATTTTGAGATACTTTTATAGGAAGATCTGCTTACAAAAAGATAGACGTAAAGAACGAAAATTGTAATCACCCTTGAAGGTGACCGAAATTATGTATAAAAAGTTGACTTGAACTTTACAGCAAAACGCACAACATCTCCAGTATTACAAGCCGCAGTGATAAATCTCCTCGAGTCAAGGACTTGCGACGAGTTGCTCAGACGTCGTTTCAACAGACATTGGGATGGAATGCAGGAACATCAGCTTTGTGCTGGTAAACTAGCTGGAGGGGTTGATTCTTGCCAGGTAATTTAAATATGCCATATATTTTTTTTCCATACTCTTTTTTAGATAGCCTTCAAGGTAAGATTTAGTGGCAATAAAAGAACGCAAAAGTATTAAACAAACAATAACTTTCATAGATTTCTCCCAGATGGCGCAACTACAAACTTTGTCGTTAAAAATAAAAACAAAGATCTACAACAAGCAAATAGTAAAATTACTGAGTTTTGCTGAGTAAAATTACTGAGTTTTGCTGGTTCGTTCCTGTTATGGTCATAGCTAAGTAAAACAGCACTGTGACGTGTGCAGGTGTCTTTATTTTGTAGTATCTTGTTGATGACAAGTATTCTTGTTCAATCTATGATGGCCGCCGCCTCCGTACTGTATTGTGATTTACGTCTAAATTAATTAGACTCAACTGAGACTTCTATTACAAAGAACCACACTTTAAAAAAGTTCCGTAGCTCAGTTAGATCCAAAAGGATCGAATGAAGTTTTCTTAATGTTCGTAGTGTAGTTCTTAGTGTAGTAAAACCTCGTGACATTCATTAAACTTAATATTACAATTAAACAATTTTATTTAACATATTGATTAATTTTTAAGACTTTTTTTTTTGTTTGGTATGACACACTATAGCTTTACTTAGCGATTCTTTGTCACTTTACGCACACTTTATATTACCAGTGATATTAGTGGAGGCTATTAATTTCAACTTAAATACAAGATCGTCACCATTATTAACTACGATGGACGTACCCACTGCTACGTCTAGAAGTTTGTGGCATCCATCGCGATTTTACGCTAGTCTCACCTATCTAACTTCTCATTACTAATATCAATTCTCATTGAAG